ACCTGGATAAGGTTGACCAAAGATTGGAGAGGTTAGAAAGCAGGTCAACAGCTGAGAATCAGGGCAAAAACGGGACAAAACAGAGACGGGTTGGACGGCCGCGTCCTGCCAAGTCATCACTCCAATGGACGGCCGACGGTCGACCAATTTGCTTGTCCTGTTCACAACCCGGACATATGGCACGGTACTGTCCGGTGAAACGATCGCCCTCTGTACGGCAGGTCAAGGCTACAGAGCGGCGAGGTAATGACTTAGTAAACAAAATGACAAAGAAACACAGTAAGGAGAAAAAGAAAGGTAAAACACAACTAATGGAAAAAATGAACTGTGAAATGAACTGGGATGTTGAAAAGTTTCAAGTGAACAATTTGTTGGTAGAGAAAAATGATGATAAGAAGGAAATTGGTAGACTTAAGAATGAGATCTCAATGTTAACCAGGAAACTGGATAGGGAAAGGTCATGCAAATTAAAAGCACAGGAGAAATGTTCATCTTTAGAGTGTCTGTTATCGGAAGAAGTAAATAAAAATAGTAGACAACAGAACAGTGTTGGCAAACTAGAAGAAATGAAAGAGTCTCAAACAAGACTTGAAGAGAAATTATCCGATATTGAAAAAGAACTTCAAAGTACAGCAAAGTTGGGATCAATCGAACAGAGATGGGCAGCAGAATTGGCACTCTTTGACCTGGAGATAAAATATCGCCCGGGGCGGTCCAACGGCAATGCGGACGCCTTATCAAGGAATCCTTACGAGAGACCGGGCGATGAGGAAGAAACGCTGACAGGAATATGTGAGGTCAGAACGTCAACAGATATCCCTCACGGGGTGCAAGTGATGCAAAACGGGCAGACCGGGGTGGAGCACATATCCACAGAGCCCGGACATATGGACAGTAGTGATTTTAATTGCCTTAATCACAAAAAGATAAGAGATGCCCAGAGAACGGATAGTGGCTTACAACCGCTATTGAAATACGTCCAGGAACAAAAATTCCCAGGAAGAAGGGAAAGAGAACAATTTGGTCGAGAAACAAAGAAAATACTGAGTCAGTGGGACCGTCTCAGTATAGAGGATGGTGTTCTCATGCGGAGAATTCATGACCAAATTGATGGGACAATACACCAGGTGGTGGTGCCTGGACAATTACGAGAAGAAGTGCTAAGGTTGGCACATGACAGGGCAGGACACCAGGGTCAGGACAGGACGCACAAAATTTTACGACGGAGGTGTTACTGGCCCAATATGGAAATGGAGGTCAAACGCCATTGTGAGGCTTGTGTGAGGTGTCAGCATGCGAAAATGCCAGTTGTCAAAATGAGACAGCCATCAGGACACCTACTAGCGACAAAACCACTAGAGATTGTGGCTATGGACTTTACGTCGTTGGAGCAATCATCGGATGGGACGGAACATGTGTTGGTAATGACTGATGTATTCACCAAATGGACTGTGGCGGTGCCCACACGAGATCAGACTGCCAAAACAGTGGCAAAGGTCTTAATAGAACATTGGTTCATCAAATATGGCATACCAAGACAATTACACTCTGACCAAGGAAGGGCTTTCGAGTCAGAAGTAATTAACCAACTGTGCAGCCACTACGGGATCAACAAATCTAGAACAACCACATTTAATCCGAAAGGAAACGGACAGTGTGAACGGTTCAACCGCAGCATGCATGATTTGCTGCGTACTCTAGAACCTGAACAGAAAAAACGTTGGCCTGATTTTCTCCCAGAGTTGGTATATCTATACAACTGCACACCCCATGCCACAACCGGCTTTTCGCCATACATGTTGCTGTTCGGACGGGAGGCTCGACTCCCTCTTGATTTGTTCCTAGGAAAAAAGGAGAGTATGACTGGCTCATACACCGCACTGGAATATGTGAATGAACATATGAGAAGAATTAGAGAAATGTACAGGGTAGTACAGGAAAGACTAGAACATGAAGCACGGCGAAGGGAACCGCCGGTACAGACAAAGGACCCGCCACTCAAACTGAACGACAGGGTATTACTGCGTAGCCACCCGTTAGGCAGAAACAAAATCCACGATCTCTGGGGACAGGAGTTATGGCAAGTCGTGGAGATGCCTAAAGTAGCAGGTGGCCCCTTTAAGATAAGACCCATCGATCACGCCAAACCGGATCGGTGGGCGAATATTGCTCAATTAAAGAAATATTGGAATAGGCAAGAAGAGCAGTTACACACAAGGAAATCCAAGACAATTAGGGAACCGGAAGTTACAACGGAAATTCACATACCCATCCCGGAACCATATCACCATCAACAGAACAACCGCGATACACAAGTGGAGGATAACGGCAACAAAGAGGATCCCGTTCCTTCCAGAAGCAGAGAGACAATAGACCATCAGATAAGTGGTCCGCGGAGAAGTTTGAGAAACAGAAAGAATACGAAATTTTTTGTCAGCAACCATCAAGTCTTTCATGGTCGCGCTGGTATGAGAACAGACGGTTCAAAAAGCTATAAAAGTGAACTGGTGAAGGCACCAAACGAAAAGGGTGGATGTGAATTCTAGAACTGTTTTGTGTCTCAGGAAGATGATGTAGACACAGTTGATATGTGAAATAGGTATAACTGTCAATCGTATACGAATGGGACGACGTGGACAGTGAGTGGAACAATAAAATTTTTTTTACGATTGTGCGATTGACTATGGAGGAGTGCACCTGCCAGGCGTTGTTTGTGGTTGAAAACACACAAAAAAAGGCAGGGGTGGATGTAACTAGGGTAGGCCTAGCTACTAGTTACAAATCTGATGCAACTGATAACGAACGATAAGCCGAGACGCAGTATTACAGTCTGATGCAACTGATAGCAGGTGGCTTATTAGATCGGAATGATAACAATCTCAAAGCCAACGCGTGCTATTTTGGGAAACGGTACGAGGGGATTCAGACGGCCTGTCAACTTTGATTGATAGGACGCAGATGTTTTATTAAACGGACTGTACGTTAGAACTGCGCAACTAGTAGTCGGAGACATCGAGTACAAGTATCGATTACGGAGGAATACAAGTACGAATACGAGTACGAATACAAGGGATAAATAGGAGGGGACGGCTGAACTCGCCGCTCTTCCCTTTTCGATCGCCCGCTCTCTTCATCGCTCGCTTTAGATCAGTCAGTCTGTGTGACATATCAAGTTGGTTATATTGTGTTAAGAAGGACAATAGACATGTGGATTCAGTTATATGAAGCCTAGTGAGGACTGTTAGGGGTCAGTTGATTCAGACTATTATTGTGAAGCATTCCTGTTGATTCATTGTGTTATATTGAAGCATTTCTTGATTCATGTAATAAAAGGATCAATAGAGAACCTGCATCTTCGAGTATTTCTACTGTAGTCGATGTTGTGTAGCATGAGTGGTTAAACTCGTTACATTTGGCACTACAGGCAAATAGTCTCGTAACATGTGGCGTTGCGAGCAGGGTAACTGTTCGCTCGTTACATATATATATATATATATATATATATATATATATATATATATATATATATATATATATATATATATATGTATACATATATTTGCCCAATTATTAGAGACTGAGTTAGTCCTGTTTACTCCAAGTGTAGCATAAGGCTCCCCATTCTAGTGCACGACGTATGACATCGCTAGTTTTGTATAAGGTTTGCGCTCTTCAATTGGAAGGGGAGGGGGGGCACTTGAAATTTTCCGGGGTCGGGGTACACTGGTAAAAGTATATATTTCCTATATAAATTATATTTTATTTGGGGTGGGAGGGGGGTAGTTTTCTACACAGGTCACTCGTTGCGAGCTTTCTTAATTCTTGCACGAAAGTTTTTGTCGTTCAGATCCTAAAACGTGGGTGTTTGTGTTTTAGGTCTAGGGCACATGACACACGCTAGAACTCATGGTGTTTGTGCTTTAGGTCTAGGGCACATGACACACGCTAGAACTCATGGTGTTTGTGTTTTAGGTCTAGGGCACATGGCACACGCTAGAACTCATGGTGTTTGTGCTTTAGGTCTAGGGCACATGACAGACGCTAGAACTCATGGTGTTTGTGTTTTAGGTCTAGGGCACATGACACACGCTAGAACTCATGGTGTTTGTGCTTTAGGTCTAGGGCACATGACAGACGCTAGAACTCATGGTGTTTGTGTTTTAGGTCTAGGGTACATGACAGACGCTAGAACTCATGGTGTTTGTGTTTTAGGTCTAGGGCACATGACACACGCTAGAACTCATGGTGTTTGTGTTTTAGGTCTAGGGTACATGACAGACGCTAGAACTCATGGTGTTTGTGCTTTAGGTCTAGGGCACATGACACACGCTAGAACTCATGGTGTTTGTGTTTTAGGTCTAGGGTACATGACAGACGCTAGAACTCATGGTGTTTGTGTTTTAGGTCTAGGGCACATGACACACGCTAGAACTCATGGTGTTTGTGCTTTAGGTCTAGGGCACATGACACACGCTAGAACTCATGGTGTTTGTGCTTTAGGTCTAGGGCACATGACACACGCTAGAACTCATGGTGTTTGTGTTTTAGGTCTAGGGTACATGACACACGCTAGAACTCATGGTGTTTGTGCTTTAGGTCTAGGGCACATGACACACGCTAGAACTCATGGTGTTTGTGTTTTAGGTCTAGGGCACATGACACACGCTAGAACTCATGGTGTTTGTGCTTTAGGTCTAGGGCACATGACACGCTAGAACTCATGGTGTTTGTGCTTTAGGTCTAGGGCACATGACACACGCTAGAACTCATGGTGTTTGTGCTTTAGGTCTAGGGCACATGACACACGCTAGAACTCATGGTGTTTGTGCTTTAGGTCTAGGGCACATGACACACGCTAGAACTCATGTATTCTTCAAACCCTCAGCTAAAACAAAACACAATTCACACTGACTGGGTGTTGTGCTTTAAGTCTAGGGTACATGACACACACACGCTAGAACTCATGGATTCTTCTTATCCTCAGCCAAAACAAAACACAATTCACACTGACGTCACGAATTTATTTGTGAAACAGGTCATATACAAAGCAACACAACTCTTCTAAAATTCAGTCTAGAAATTTAATTACATATTCTGAGCTTACAGATATCCTCCAATGTAATCTGTGAAGGAGAGGGTCTGATATTTATATTTAAACTATAAAGACATGGAGAAATACTTCAAAATAGAATTTCCTACAAACAGTTTATTGCAGTTGAAGATTTCGAAATAGTTAACCTAATAGATTCCCTATCTATTTATGTTATAATTAGGTTGAACTATTTAGCAAAAATACGCTTACTTGATAATTTAGTTAATATGTGATGATACCTGTAAAATCCGCTAGATTAACGATTTTTATCTTGATTATAAAATATTTCTAAATTGCTTTAATTAAATCAAACTAAAGATATAATAAAATTTTGTTGCGTATTTGCAAATTTAGGGAATTTCTTTAAAAAAAAAGAGATTTGTACTTATGTGTTGGAAGAAATGAGTCATCTGCTTCAGATTTGTTAGAATCAGTCGACAGATTCAGAACTTGACACGAAAAAGATTTAGAGGATTATGTTTAACAAAGTTTGTGATTAGAATTAAACTTAAATTTTAAGAATTAGATGTCGACTTGGCCGCTTCCCATTGTAATATTTTCTGATCGGGTTTAAATATCTGGGCAGTAGTGGTGCAGTAGAGTTGCTCTATGATTCATTGTCTGTATATTTTTAATCGAAATGATTTTTTCCCTCTAATTTAAAAATAATTAAATTTTTTTGCGATATATTTTTAGTGATCAAATATTTAGAGATTGTTCCTCTTGTCAGTTCACCAATAGCAAGGTTGGATGTAGTCAGCGAAATCATCCCCAATGTAGCTGTTAAGGTTCCGATTCGATTATAAGCTTCCGTTTATTAGTCTGACTAAAAAGTGCATATATACTTTTATTTAAAATCTTCTGTTGTTGTAAAACAAATCGAAGAGAATACCGATAATTCCCATGATTTCAGTAATTCTGTAATCATTTGAATTTATAAGAAAAACATAACCATAGTGTAAATTCTGAAGGGCGTCCTTATTATTTGTGGGGTGTGGTTTATTAAAATTGTTCTTTGGAATCAAGGTAAAATATACATATTTTAAATATATTGTTTAAATTACAATTTTTGGTATTCTTAAAAGAAAAACAAAGAAAAGCCTAATTGACAATTTAGATGTTATTTTTCAAAGTCTCTATAGCAGTACGAAATATAAAGTTATTTCCCCTGAAAATATAAAATTCAGAGTTCTCCTTCTTAAAGGCTTACCAGGCTAGTGTGATATGATGTTGTTTATTTATTTTCACAAAAAAAATCTAGAATCACAAGTAGTGTTTTAAACGACGTTTTTTTTTAAACAAACAAAAAAAAACCATTATTTCTTAATGCAATGATGCTGAGTTGAAGAAAGATAATAGCTTTGTTAAGTTTCAGTGGAGCAAAATTAGTCATTGGTTGGCTGGTGTTACGTAAGTTTTATTTTTAGCTTCTCTAAGCCTCAAGGTCACTTGTCTTGGTATCGTCCCATTTGCCTGAAGACCCCACATGACCTCCGACAACCAATCACAAATCACATCAATTCAGAAAGTGTCACGAAACCATCATCTGTTTAGAGGATAAGAAAATACATTTATGATTGGCCTATAGACACTGGGCTAGCTAAGTGCAAGGTATGTTTGTTTTGGTTCTAAAAATAAACTAATTGTATTGGCCCAGAAGTCTGTGAGGGACCCAATCAACAGTGACGACATTGACTAAAATCGAGTTTTGTCCATGTCGTCTCCTGGCTAGCCCCCCCCCCCCCCCCTCACTCACTCACTTCCCATCACGTGACTTTTATTTTAACGCATCGCATTTTTAGTGTTGAATAACAAATTTATAAAAATGATTAAAAACCAATATTTCGACGGCCATGGAACGACGTGGTCAAATGGTAGAGCGGTCGACTGCTAACCAAGAATTCTTGGGTTCGGATCCCTGGTTAGAGTCGTAGCACATCCATGAGTCCACTCAACCATGATGGGTACCTGCATTACATTAGTGAGAATAAAGCCGGCTGGGCATAGTGCTGACCACGCTAATCTTTCATATGCCGAGCTAACATAAACAGGTGAACTCTACTTCGCCTGGCCTAAGGACTGCCAGGTTCGAATATTTTATTTCGCCAGACATTGCAATTTAGGGTACTAACATGTTGTGTTAGACGTAAAATATATACCCCTGTTTTTTGTTAGCGCTTGCTAGTACAATAGATTTAAATTACATGACACAATCTATCCCATGCAAAGTTACATAGCCCTTTATAGGCTTTACGTCTATTTTTGTAGGGAAATCAAATGTTATATGATCATTTAAAATATATAATTAGAAAACAAAAAAACCCATAGCCCTCTTGTTTATATGAAATGTGCAACATCCCGTAGATGACAATTCTAAACTACACCAGCCCTACACGAATATCTTTCAATTTGTGGCTTTGTCGAGTTGGAACATTCTGGACAACAAACCGCTAAGGTTATCGCCCTTTAACAGAAAGCTAACACGGTTTTGTCCCCGCCACATACATTATGTATCAAACAATAAAAAAACATGACTGACCATTTTTGTCCAATATCGTTAGCAGCTCCGACAACATCTCTGGGTTTTTAAAAAGTAAAGCCTCCAATGCTTGTTTCGTTTGCATCTCTCTGAAACAATTATTTGAAGATGTTTGTTCATACAAAAACAAAAGAAGGGAAGATTATGGCGGTCTGGTTCAATGGTAATATTGTGTTGTAGCTCAGCTAGAGAATTGGTACAATGGTAATAGTGTGTTGTAGCTCAGCTAGAGAATTGGTATAATGGTAATAGTTAAGGGTAACTTGCAATTGACTTGGTTCAATGGTAATAGTGAAGGGTAACTCAGCTAATGATTTGGTAAAATGGTAATACTGTGTGATAGCTCAGCTAGTGACTTGGTATAATGGTAATGGTGAAGGGTAACTCAGCTACTGATTTGGTACAATGGTAATGGTGAAGGGTAACTCAGCTAGTGACTTGGTATAATGGTAATGGTGAAGGGTTACTCAGCTACTGACTTGGTAAAATAGTAATACTGTGTGATAGCTCAGCTAGAGACTTAGTATAATGGTAATAGTGAAGGGTAAATCAGCTAACCTTGGTACAATGGTAATAGTGAAGGGTAACTCAGCTAAACTTGCTACAATGGTAACTCGGCTAGTGGTGAAGAGTAACTCAACTAGTGACTTGGTACAATGCTAATAGTGAAGGGTAACAGCTCAGCTAGTGACTTAGTACAATATGTAGCTCAGCTACCCTTGGTATAATGGTAACTCGGCTAATGATTTGGTTATATTGAAGGTAACAGTGAATGGTAAGTCAGCTACTGACTTTGTACAATGGTAATAGTACAGGGTAAGTCAACTAATGACTTGGTACAATGGTACTCATGTGTAATAACTCAACTACCGACTTGGTACAATGGTAATAGAAAAGGGTATCACAACTGGTACTAACCTGGATATAACATCAAACAGATTGGTTGAAATCATGTCCGCCCCTCCCCTCTTGCCGAACATGTAGCCACCCACCCGGTACCTAGCCCGGGGGGAGCGGAGGGTCTCTCGCTTCTCCAGGCCCGCGGGTCCGGCCATGACTTGTTGAGACAACAAACAGAGCGTGACGACACTGACTAGGAGGAAGGTTATCACGTGACTGATTGTGGTGGCACTCATCTTTAGGAACTGTGGACACAACAGTTGTTGGTATAGGGGCAGCACACACAACAGTTGTTGGTATAGGGGCAGCACACACAACAGTTGTTGGTATAGGGCAGCACACACAATAGTTGTTGGTATAGGGGCAGCACACACAACAGTTGTTGGTATAGGGGCAGCACACACAACAGTTGTTGGTATAGGGGCAGCACACACAACAGTTGTTGGCATAGGGGCAGCACACAGAACAGTTGTTGGTATAGGGGCAGCACACACAACAGTTGTTGGCATAGGGGCAGCACACACAACAGTTGTTGGTATAGGGGCAGCACACACAACAGTTGTTGGCATAGGGGCAGCACACAGAACAGTTGTTGGTATAGGGGCAGCACACAGAACAGTTGTTGGTATAGGGGCAGCACACACAACAGTTGTTGGTATAGGGCAGCACACACAACAGTTGTTGGTATAGGGGCAGCACACACAACAGTTGTTGGTATAGGGGCAGCACACACAACAGTTGTTGGTATAGGGCAGCACACACAACAGTTGTTGGTATAGGGGCAGCACACACAACAGTTGTTGGTATAGGGGCAGCACACACAACAGTTGTTGGTATAGGGGCAGCACACACAACAGTTGTTGGTATAGGGGCAGCACACACAACAGTTGTTGGTATAGGGGCAGCACACAGAACAGTTGTTGGTATAGGGGCAGCACACACAACAGTTGTTGGTATAGGGCAGCACACACAACAGTTGTTGGTATAGGGGCAGCACACACAACAGTTGTTGGTATAGGGGCAGCACACACAACAGTTGTTGGCATAGGGGCAGCACACAGAACAGTTGTTGGTATAGGGGCAGCACACACAACAGTTGTTGGTATAGGGGCAGCACACACAACAGTTGTTGGTATAGGAGCAGATATTTACATCCACACACAACAGTTGTTGGTATAGGAGCAGATATTTACATCCACACACAACAGTTGTTGGTATAGGGGCAGCACGCAGAACAGTTGTTGGTATAGGGGCAGATATGTACGACATGCACACAGAATAGTTGTTGGTATAGGGGCAGCACACGCAACAGTTGTTGGTATAGGGGCAGCACACACAACAGTTGTTGGTATAGGGGCAGATATTTATGACGTCTACACACAATAGTTGTTGGTATAGGGGCAGCACACAGAACAGGTGTTGGTATAGGGGCAGATATTTACATCGACACAGAACAGTTGTTGATATAGGGGCAGATATTTATGACATCCACACAGAACAGTTGTTGATATAGGGGCAGATATTTACGACATCCACACAGAACAGTTGTTGGTATAGGGGCAGATATTTACGACATCCACACAGAACAGTTGTTGGTATAGGGGCAGATATTTACGACATCCACACAGAACAGTTGTTGGTATAGGGGCAGATATTTACGACATCCACACAGAACAGTTGTTGGTATAGGGGAAGACATGTACGACATCCACACAGAACAGTTGTTGGTATAGGAGCAGATATTTACGACATCCACACACAACAGTTGTTGGTATAGGGGCAGATATTTACGACATCCACACAGAACAGTTGTTGGTATAGGGGCAGATATTTACGATATTCACACAGAACAGTTGTTGGTATAGGGGCAGATATTTAAAAAAAATTAAATCGTCTACCTCCTACGACCCTCCCTCAGTCTCCAAAAGGACGTCCCAAATACTATAACAGTGGTCCCAAATACTATAACAGTGGTCCCAAAAAGTATAGCAGTGGTCCCAAATACTATAACAGTGGTCCCAAAAAGTATAGCAGTGGTCCCAAAAAGTATAACAGTGGTCCCAAAAAGTATAGCAGTGGTCCCAAATACTATAACAGTGGTCCCAAAAAGTATAGCAGTGGTCCCAAAAAGTATAACAGTGGTCCCAAAAAGTATAGCAGTGGTCCCAAATACTATAACAGTGGTCCCAAAAAGTATAACAGTGGTCCCAAAAAGTATAACAGTGGTCCCAAATACTATAACAGCGGTCCCAAAAAGTATAGCAGTGGTCCCAAAAACTATAACAGTGGTCCCAAAAAGTATAACAGTGGTCCCAAAAAGTATAACAGTGGTCCCAAATACTATAACAGCGGTCCCAAAAAGTATAGCAGTGGTCCCAAAAACTATAACAGTGGTCCCAAAAAGTATAACAGTGGTTCCAAAAACTATAACAGTGGTCCCAAAAACTATAACAGTGGTCCCAAAAAGTATAGCAGTGGTCCCAAAAAGTATAACAGTGGTCCCAAAAAGTATAACAGTGGTCCCAAAAACTATAACAGTGGTCCCAAAAAGTATAACAGTGGTCCCAAAAAGTATAACAGTGGTCCCAAAAAGTATAACAGTGGTCCCAAAAACTATAACAGTGGTCCCACAAAGTATAACAGTGGTCCCAAAAACTATTACAGTGGTCCCAAAAAGTATAACAGTGGTCCCAAAAACTATAACAGTGGTCCCAAAAACTATAACAGTGGTCCCAAAAACTAATTATTTATGGAAAAGTTTGTTTTATAATATTACAAACATAATCTAGAATGTAATAAATAATTTTTGTGGACAGAATTCTTAGGTATCCTTCCTCTTATTAGTGATTACACATTCGCTTTTTACTTATCCTAGCGAGTATTTTTACGTTCTCTTATATGAAGACGATGAAGACCTTCTATAGATATATGATGAAAGTGGTTAGGACCTATAGACCTAGTGTGACAATGAAAGCGATGAAGACCTATTGACCAGGATGACATTGATAGTGATAAATACATTCTATAAATGTACGATGTCAATGAAAGTTATGAAGTCGTAGAGACCTAGGATAAAAGTAACGAAGACTTACTATAGACCTATGATGACATTGAAAGTGATAAAGACCTAATGAAGAGATACTGATCTTCTTCTGCTTAAGAGTCGTAATGCTAGCGATGCAGAGTTCTTTAGATCTAGCTGGACATAACACGTGACTAGCTGGACAGAACACATGACCTCCGTAAGACTTAGAGTCGTAATGTTAGCGATGTAGAGTTCTTTAGATCTCGCTGTACAGAACATATGACTAGCTGGACAGAACACATGACTAGCTGGACAGAACACGTGACCTCCGTAAGACTTAGAGTCGTGATGCTAGCGATGTAGAGTTCTTTAGATCTAGCTGGACAGAACAAATGACCTCCGCTAGCTGGACAGAACACATGACTAGCTGGACAGAACACATGACTAGCTGGACAGAACACATGACTAGCTGGACAGAACACATGACTAGCTGGACAGAACACATGACTAGCTGGACAGAACACATGACTAGCTGGACAGAACACATGACTAGCTGGACAGAACACATGACTAGCTGGACAGAACACATGACTAGCTGGACAGAACACATGACTAGCTGGACAGAACACATGACTAGCTGGACAGAACACATGACTAGCTGGACAGAACACACGACTAGCTGGACAGAACACATGACTAGCTGGACAGAACACATGACTAGCTGGACAGAACACATGACTAGCTGGACAGAACACATGACCTCCGTAAGACTTGCAGTGACGAAATTCACCTGACGCCTAACCTCACGGGACAGATGTAATCATGGTCGTCTTGTAGGTCCGCGTAGATTGAGACGATTTACGTGGACATTTTTTGTGGACTTTTTTTTTTTACATACTCCAGCTCCAGACGAAGGAAAAACGATAGACGTAGATGAAGAAATTGATTGTTTCGTTTACGTGTGTTTTTCGGAAATAAAGTTAAAGTTTTGTTTGTGTGGTGGTTAGATCTAAAGGTAGGCGATGGCGTCAATTAGACTTCAAAGGGGAAGTTAATGATGATTCGACAGAGAGATTTTGGGGAAAAGGATTTGTTAAGAAGTTTTTCTGTCCGATTTTCGATATATTTCACAGCCTTTGTATTCTAGTGGTACAAGTATGTACAAAGTACGTAGGCCTACTTTAAAAAAAGGAGTATATAAATATAATGTCAAAATAGATTTGAAATAAATAAAATGATAATGTCCGCTTAATACATTGGTCTGAAAATAAAGATGAGACTAGTTGATGGTAATATAGACAGTCTTGGCGGCAAAATGGGTAGAAACAAATTAAAAAGCTCAATTTAAAGTGAAGTATTAAATTACACACATTCGAAGTTAAGAAAATAAACGGCTACAAGGCTGTACACGATGTTTAAACTGTTTTCTCCATCCATTGGGTAGTACTAAAATATAAACTGTTACGGAATAGTTACCAGCATGAATAAGTATAACTTATATATAATTGGGGGGGGGGGCGCAAAACTTATAGCTAGCCCCGGGCGCCAGAATGGGATGCTACATCACCGACACAGTTACTGGTATTGCTACACCACCGGCACAGTTACTGGTATTGCTATGCTCTTACCTTGACCCTTATCTTAGTCCGACCCTAACCGTAGCCATAGGCATTAATTTAACCCGACACAGTGGCGTAGCGAGGTCGGGTGTCACCCGGTGCGGCACTTAATGGTGTCACCCCCCCAGAGGCGTTGCGACCCTTCCCGGGGACAAACTTTCAAGTTTTCGATTTGCACCCCCCCTCTCAAACTTTCGATTTGCACCCCCCCCCTCCTCAAGTTTTCGATTTGCGCCCCACATCAAGTTTTTCTCTATATATTTTGCTATTTTTTGCCTTGGTGTCACCCTCCTAAATGGTGTCACCTGGTGCGGTCCGCACCCCCGCCCCCCCCCCCTCGCTACGCCCCTGACCCGACACACCCTTTACCTTGACCATAACTCTCAACACAATCCTAATCCCAACACTAATCTTATACCAAAATCGTAATCAATGTGCTAATCCCAATATTCAGCCTGACGTTATGTTGAAACAAGCAGAAAAAAAATGTACAGGATACTGCGATACCAAGGGATATGATAGACAATTAGGGTTTGTAAGGATCGATGTCTGATCATGTGAATAATCGATTATTAGGTAACAAAATATTACTTGATGAAAGTGATTGCAGAAAATTTTAACTCTAAAATTCGCGAACCAGCAACCCACGAATGTACACAGTTTGTTGGTTCTTTGCGTGATTTTGTGTTGTTGATTGTTAATGTACGTTCACCAATGAACAGTAGTTATACAGTACTGGTGGTAACTCTTAGAGTACTCACGCTAGATCTACCTGTCGTGACGTTAACAGTGCTGGCTGTAATCACATTGAGCACGCAGACAAGAAACACGACGTGTAAAGAACTTCTGAACAGGTTGGGTGTTAGAAGAAAGCGATTTTGTGAATCGGTTGGTTAATAGCCATGAAACAGCCGGACGCATAAGAAAAACGTAAAATTCAAAAGCACACAGACGCAAATGCATGCATGTATGCAGAGGTGTAGCGACCCTTCCCGGCGCCCGGGCACAAATTTTCAATTTAGCGCCTCCACACGGGATCAACCTTTCAATTTTTGATTTGCACCCCCCCCTCATATATTTTTTTATATTTATAAAGCAAAAATGCAGCTAAAGTAATATTTTAATTTGTTTTTCCAGCCCGGGGACATATGTACCCCTGCCCCCCCCCCCTTCGTTACGCTTCGTTACGTTATGCATGTATGCATACATATAACACAAACACAATGTATTGTGGATACTACAACATACATACAACTGCACACAAATAAAAGCATAATATCACATAAAACAAGTAAGTTTGTTTTCTCCATTCAAAGGACGTTATTAACTCATTACATAATTCAAATCCGCCATATTTAATGTATACATTTTTGTTACATTTATGCTTAAGATCTGCTTTAGTCAAAATGTACACTTTTGCGTGTTGTTTAAAATTAATTTTAAAAACTATATTCAAGCGGCTTTGACATCTACTATTTGCTAATTTTATTTCACGCGGTGACATATTTAAGACGATTACGTAATTAGGTGATGACACGGCACTCAGACATGCAGTCAAATATGACGTAATCCAGACAGCTGGTGACGTTAACGGCTTAAAGTATATTTGGCCGTGTGTGTGGTGGTGGCATTATGCGGCTGTGGTAGGCATTGGCGTCGCTAGGTAGGGTGTCAACCGGTGCGGCGCTTCATGGTTTCATGGTGTCAGGGTGTCACCCCCCTCAAGAATATATAAAATATTATATATATATATATATATATATATATATATATATATATATATATATATATATATATATACATATATATATATATATATATGAGTGTGTGTGTATGTGTGTGTGTATGCATGCATGTATTTCACCTCCCACCGGTAATAGTTTTAATTTGTACACACTTAATAGTAACGATGCTTATCTTAGTCGGTAATGAATACAGCTGGATGTAGTATTGTTTTCTCTATAGTTAGCAAATTTACGTCATGGTATCACCCCTTCCCCTTGTCGAGATTGACGGTATTGTCAATTTGATTTGTAGGCTCCACTTAAAATATTGATTGTTTTACCTTAATTAATCATTAATTGAACTGACAAAAAGCATTTTTTCTTCTGTAAATTTTGCAATTTTTTTGCCTTGGAGTCACCCGATGCGGTCCGCACCCCCTAGCTCCCCATCGCGACGCCTCTGACGGTAGGTTCAAGAGTGAGTATGTCGCAAAATGGGGTTAGAGAGTAGACACGCTGTATACAAGTATGAAGCCAGTTGTAAAGCATGGGAGAAATACATTCTTGGTACAGAGGTAAGGGGTCGAAGTTCAAGTTATATTTACATGTCGGATCAATCTACAGAGTTTTTATTAAAAAAGTTATTTTTGCAGCTAAATTACTTAGCTTATATTATATAATTTTGTTTTCATTAATATTTGGCCGGCTAACATAACAAAACTGTTATCTAACTAACTTATAGTTCTTTTCCTATTTCATCTGTTAAAAAAAACAGATGCAAAGTAAATTTGATGAAATCAAGTAGTAAGGCCGTCATTGTCTCTTTAATAACATGTACGTTAGATGTTATTTTTCATCTAAAAATAGACTGACTGCACGTGACAGCAGCATCCATGACTAATGAATGGACATCAACATGCAGCTGTAGGTAAGCCAATAGCATGGATTCATGACGTCAAAATATCAAAATAATATAATAACCAAATATCATGACGTCAATACACCTACACACGAACCACCAAAAAACAAGATGACGGTACCAACATGTTTTTTTATGATGTCACCAATGTAGGTGAGGTCTGCAGACGTCCCTCGACGCCATCACCATACGGAACGGAACATGCTGAATCACAGACAGCAAAGGAAACCGTGATCTACTCCACTCACACTCTGGGCGACCGGCCCGTGAGGTAGGTCTCAAAACTTGGCATAAACAGACGGACAGGGTGATGGGTGGAGGCTATGGGTAGGTGTTTAACTTCGGCGAGCAGGTCGGTTTTTTAATAGAGGTAAACATGTTTATGTCCAACACGTTGACCCAGATGGGAATACCTGCGTACATGGTTGGTCAATCAAATTGTAGTTGTACAAATATTTAGAACAAAAAGTAATATTGTTCCGTAGTCTAATAGACCTTTGGG